TGTTCATGCAGAAGACCCAAGTTCGAATCCAAGCCCCACATGGCAGCTAACAACAGTCTGTAAGTACAGTCCCAGGGGATCCAGCAGCCCAGCCTCTTCTGAACTCCGCTGGCATTGCACAACACGGGTGCACTTACCTACATGCAGCCCTGTCTCAAAAAGACCAAAAAATAAATAAATAAATAAAATTAAAAAAAAAATAAAATAAAATATTGAAAAACTCAAAACAGCTCCTGCCCTTTGGCCCTTTGGGGCAGGCCCTATCACTGTTCCCTTTACTGTTGATGGAAATCTGGCTTAGAAGGGACATGCCCTTGGTTTTTTGCTAGCTGGAGACTTGATTTCTAGCTTGCCTGACTTCAGACCCGAGGGCAGGGACAAGCACCTGAAGTTTAAGGTGGGAAAAAATTTCCTCCTCCAATACCAGAAAGGCCCAAGGCCGTGGGAATACTGGACCAAGGAGGATGCAGAGACTCATCCTGATGAGAGCCTTTATTCAGACAGCACAGGGGCCTCCTCCTCACCTCTCTTCTCAGGGCTGGAAAGGGATATAGTCCCTTCAACAACACAGAGCCTTCCTCAAAGAACACCCTGACTGGCAGGGTGGGTGTGGGTGTCCAGAGAGGTGCTTAGACCTGGGCATTCCAAAATAATCTTAGATGGCTGATCTCTGCACACATGTAGCTCTCCGTAGGCAGCTTGCAGCACCCTGGGGGCCCGACTGCCCTGCCTGCTCTCTCTTGGGCTGGTGCTAGAGGCACATGACAGCAGTGGTTATGACAGTTACAGTAAATGACACCCTGAGTTCAAGGTTCAAAAAGAAGAAACAAGGGCAGTGGAAAAGGCCCCACTGCCCTGAGGAAGGCAGGGCGTGGAAGGAGGCTGGGCCTTTCCTGTGCAGAGAAGCTCAGGCTAGGCCAGGCCCCATATGTGTTTTGGAGGCGGTGTGATGCCCAACTCCTCACGCAGGGCTGCCAGGGGCTGCTCCCAACGCCGCTCGTAGTAGAGGTTGAGGACACACGGGGCCCTGTGCCCGTTCTGTACTGCCCATGGGATCAGCTCGGAGACCAGCACTTGTAGGCTCCTGGGGGCAGTGGAGGGAGAAAAGATATGAGGTCCCCAGGTGTGGCTGGCTTGGTGCTCAGCACTTTGGGTACATTTTCCCAATTAATGCCTAAGGAGAAGGGAGCTCAGTGAGGGAATTCCCATGCCCCAAACCACACATCCTGATTCAGACAGCTGTCCACTACCTCTACCCCACCTTCCTGTTGACTCTGCTCATTCTAACGAAGCCTTGCGACCTGGCCCATGGGACCCTGGGGCCCCGGTTTGTCTCTGCCCTGGCTTCCTGTTCCACCCCGTTCTTCCTACCTTTGCTCTGTGGAGAGCCACTGGGCAACTGCGTGTCTTGCCCATTTCCTGGAGCCCTGGTGTCTCTGAGGTCTCCCCGCACCCCCACTTACCCCCAGAAAACTTACTGAGCACGGAGGCGGATGGGTCCAAAGAGTGCACCCAGGATACACATGGGTAGGCCAGTCTGCACAGCCTCAAACCATTTCACCACAACCTCTCCTGGGGGTGAGGGATGGGGTAGGAGGTGAGCAGGTGGCTAGAGGGGTCAGCAGTGTTGGAACAGCTCCCAGAGAGGCATGTGCTCCTCCCAAATTTCTTCTAGGGTTTGGTGGGAACCAATCTCATCCTATGCTATATGGCATTTGACTAGGGGTGAGGGAGGGTCCAAAAGAGGAATCTTGAGGTCAGCATGCAGAGGACCTCAAAGGCCAGGCTGACAATGGTCTGGACAGGTCACAGGGAGCCCTGGTGTCCGGATGCTGAGATGGTGAAGGGGACACACAGGGTAGGCACAGAGGAGCAGGGATGGAGGTGAAGATGCTCACAAGTGCAGAGGACAAGACAGGGGACAAGCTGATGGGTGGACACTAGAGACATGAATGTAGCCTGGGTGGGTACCCTATTGCCTCCCCTCAGGTGGCTGTTGGTGACACTCACCCAGCATGTTGGTGGGCATCCCCAGCAGGGTGTGCAGCATGTCATGTACCTCTCGGTACCGCTGGATCACGTAGGCTAGTTCCTCGTCATCCACGAAGCGGGTAGGTGCTCGGGTATCTGGGGAGACCCTCTGGCAAACATGACCCTTCCTCAGACCACTTCCCATTTATGGATCCAAAGCCCCCAGAAAAATGGATTTAAACTAAAATCCCCCAGGCCTGAGAAAAACTGTACAAGGAAGTAAAAATGAAAAATAATTCTGAATGCTAAGAACAAGCTGAGCTGACCTTTTTCATGCTCCTCTGCCCAAGCTGGAAATCATCCCAGAAATTCCCCCTACCTCTGCTTGGCACATAGCCGCCGCTTGTCTTTAAAAGAAACCTGTAAACTGGGCTCTGGACTTCTGTCCTCCGAGTGAGGTGGGAGTCCGTTTTGCAAAACGCCAATAAATCCTCATGCTTGTTGCATCTCCTGATTTGAGGACTGAGTTATTGGGGTGCAACCTCCCGAGAACGTAGGGTACCCCAATCTGGGGGTCCTACAGGGGGGGAATAGCAGGTGGGGGTCAGGGCATGCCAGGGCATGTCCAGGCATGTCTAAAGCCG